GGTATGTGTCCACAATTCTCGACCGGTACCACAAATTCCTTGAGCCCCATATGTTTGACTAGCCTTCAAACGCGTGTGCAATGCGTTCAGCCCTTATTCGTTAGGAATTTCAATTTTATTTTATTTTCAATTTTACTTTAATTTCAATTTTATTATCATATGTTTTAAACAGAAAACATATGATAATAAATAAATTAATTATTTAGGAATTTAATTGCACTAGTTTAATATAAATAGGCGGGTATATATGAAATGGACATAGGAATAAATAAGTTAATAACGATAAAATTAATTTTTACGTCAATATAAATACAGTACAATATAAAATACAAATTTAGTACTGTACTAACGTTATTGTAGTAGTAGTAGTATAATGTTATAAAAATCATATTTTATTATAATGTTGTTACTTTAAAAAAATTTTTACAAAATAATTAATAAATAAAGGGTTTATTAGCAACTTCATTAAATATTATTATTTATTACAAATAATTACTATTGTTAATTATTATTATTATTATTAATTTATTGTCATTAATTATTGTAAAATAAAATAAAATGTTTAAAACCTAATGTAACATTAGTAATGTTACTTGTTATATTTCATTTAAAGGTATACTTGTATTGTGTAAACTTAACATCGGGTAGAAATGGTATACTGTATTAATAAAGCGTGATACAACTAAAGTAATCATCTAATCGATTAGTTTTATTAATTGTGAGCATTATTTAGGTTATAGTTACCAGGATTAAATTAAGGCGAATTAATTAACAAAATAAACGAACAATTTAGTCGGTTACTTAGAAAAATTATAATTTAATTCTAGGTAAACATCTGGTATTTTATATTTATGGGATTAGGTATACTTGATATCCATTTAAAATTTCGGAAATTTACAAAATTAGTTAATTTAATTACGGTAATTATCACATCATTATAACTTGAAAATACTTAATTATTGTTAAATAAAATAATTATAAATTTATTTAGCAATTTGTTAATTAATTAGTATAAACAATCATTAATTTATAACAACCATTAATTTTATTAAAATAAATAAAATAACTCAATTGGTTTTATTTAATTATTAAATAATTCTATAACAAATACATAATAATGATTTTTAAAATCAAAAATAAATTACATACTATTTATTCACAGATACTAAACTTTTTCATTTTTCCAGTGATTTAAATTCATTTGCGATATTTCGGAGCAATCCTTCAATCGATTGCTTAAAAATTATAAACAAAACAACAAATATAGCGAAAACTATAACAAAAATATTAATTTGAAAAAATACCCAAAAATCGGTTGCATTAGTGCTAAGGGAGGAAAAAATTGGATATCGTCTCCATTGGCGCATATAATACCCGATAGACTCACTTTCCGGATCTCATATATTTGGCCTGACGTGAGATAAGTGGGAGTAAAACACATCAATTATATTGGTCAATACAAACAACCAATTTAAAACACAAACATTCAAAAGTCTAACTTAATTATACACTTAAATGTACATTAAAATAAAAATAAGCTAAAACAACCATGACAATCAATTAACATGACAACTTCAAAAACAGACCTTCAGTAAACGAATGGCTTAGGCCAATATTCTCAAACCAAAACCGGTCGCCCTCTAAAAAACACCATCATATTTAGTTATAAATTATAACATTTAATTATAATAATTAAAATGAATTTATTTACACCACTTGTATTATGTCTCATACAATACCTTTAGTCCGTTTGAACTGTTCGGCGACAATACAGGCGAACACCGGTCCGAGAATACCCTCGGAAGCCGTGCGCTCGTGAATGCCGCCCAAAAAGAGGTCGATATCGTCAACGCTTTTGTACAATCGGGCGAATTGTGAACCTATTCCCGGACCAAACGCTCGGTTCAAGTCGTCAAAGCTCTTGATGCGTCCCAAACCGCACACCTCTCGCACTTTATTATAGGGCGGGAGTCCGTGGTCTCGACCCCTCTGTATGTTTGTGGCGATTAAATCGCCGCCAAACTTGGCTTTTGGCGCCCGAAACAACTGGTGTTTAATCTTTGGATACAATCTAGTGTTATCTGACATGTATTTTAAAATTTGTTTTTTATGACAGACCTCTTCTGTGACAATGCCATCAAATTTCTGCGAGGGCTGGACTACTGTGCCGTATAGGACCTCATCGACGACACCCGGTTTATAGAGAGGCGTCGGATCGTTGAATATATCCCTGAGCTGTGGGTGCGATGTGTACTCTCCCTCTGAGTTTACCAAGTGGTAAAAACTCTTCGAATGACAATAAACATGATATTATTGAAAAACTTTATGGTAAAAATGCTGACAAGCGATCACTACCTGAATCAATGAATGCCATCTGAAGGCTGCGGTGGCGAACTCGTTGATAATACCCGGGTTTGAGTAGTCCTTGTAGTGGCCGGTGAACCCCCAGGTGCTCGGGAACAGGTTGAATATGTACATTGAGCGACGGCCTATGAATGCCATCTGAAGGCTGCGGTGGCGAACTCGTTGATAATACCCGGGTTTGAGTAGTCCTTGTAGTGGCCGGTGAACCCCCAGGTGCTCGGGAACAGGTTGAATATGTACATTGAGCGACGGCCTATTCAATTAAATTTGCATTAATTAAGATGGTGATTTAATAATATACGATATATGTCAAAATAAATGTGTTAATTAGTTACCAATAGCCAGGGGTAGGAATTCATTATAAGTAATCCATTGCAAAATCGCACCCATTATGCGACGGCTCTCCTGGAAGAGTGTTTCGTCGACCCAACCTCTCAATCAAAAAAACATACGTTTGCTAATCAAAAGTGAATAATAAATATCGATTATTAAGCCATAAATACGTGGGTTTAGTCGCTTGAGTTCCGTCGCGATTCTGTTGTGCTCTCTATGTGTTCATAAAATTGGACAATAAATTGGATGATAATTAATTGCTTGCTATAAACTACATAGTCTTGTAAATTTATATGGTTTTGATGATTACCTCAAAAACATTAATTGCAGTGTCGTTAAGCCTAACTGTTGATTGACTCGTATATCTCCTATAAAATGTAATAATAAAATCATTAAATTTAAACGTATTTTTCAGATATCCATTAAAATGTCAGATATATTGGACGTGAAATACCGGCGTAAACGCATTGCTGTCCGTCAGGCGCTCCGCAAAACACTGACAACCGTTTCGTATCGAAAGGCAGAAACTCTTTGCCATTGATTATCGAGACGTTTAGTTTGCCTT